TCCAGGCAGGGGAAGATGCGCTGGACGGTGCCCGGGTCGAGCTGCAGCTCCTCCAGCATCGCCCTGCGGAACAGCCCGCCCATGATCTTCAGCGTCCGCACGTGGTGCAGCTCCGTCTGCATCAGCTCTGCGGGGGCACGGCGGGGTCACCCGGGGTGGGCACCGTGGGGACAGGGACCCCAGGGACAGGGACAGCCAGGGGACAGGGACACACAGGGGACAGGGACAGGGACCCCAGGGACAGGGACACACAGGGGACAGGGACACACAGGGGACAGGGACACACAGGGGACAGGGACACACAGGGGACAGGGACAGCAGGGTCACCCGGGGTGGGCACGATGGGGACAGGGACCCCAGGGACAGGGACAGCCAGGGGCCAGGGACACACCAGGGACAGGGACAAGGACAGGGACACACCAGGGACAGAGACAGAACCCCCAGGGACAGGGACAGGACCCTGCATCCCCATCCCCATGTTCCCATGTCTGTCCCTGCATCTCTGTCCCATCCCTGTGTCCGACACTGCCCTGTCCCCTGCCCTGTCCCATTCCCGTGTCCCTGTCCCCTGTCCCCATCCCCTCACCGTAGATGACGTCCTGCCTCTTCATGACATCCATGCGGAGCTGCTGCAGGAAGGTGTTGTCCACGGCCAGGCTCCAGGAATCCGCCTCGAACTCCCGCCCGTCGGCCTCCAGGTCGCTCAGCAGCTGGTTCAGGATCACGTCAGGGCCTGGAGGGGGGAGCAGTGGTGGGATTTGGGGTCCCCTCGTGTCCCTCACCCCGTGTCCTCCCTCCCGTGTCCCCCCTGTCCCCACCTTCGTCGATCAGCGACTCCACGGAGAGCGTCCGGTTGCGCATGTTGAGGGAATCCGTGGACTGGGACAGGATGCGCCGGATGCCCAGGGGGGACTCATCGTTGAACGTCCTGGGGGGGTGGGTGGGACACGATGGGCACGTTGGGGACACCCCCAGAGCCCCCCCCGGGCCCCAATTCCCGCCCTTACCCCGAGATGTTGGTGGTGGAGACGCTCTTGGAGAGGGACAGGGAGGGGCGGCCCCGGCGGGGGCCCAGCAGCGTCTGCCGGAAACTCTCCGAGGGGTAGATGGCGGAATTGGGGCGTTCCCGGATGGCATCTGGGGGGGACACAGCGGGGGGGTCGGGGACAGGACCCCCTGTCACCCCCCAGGGTGTGCAGGGACACCCCGGCACAGGGGGAGGGGAGATTTGGGAAGGGAAGGTTTGGGGAGGTTGGGGAGGTTGGGGAGGTTTGGGAAGGTTGGGAAGGTTTGGAGAGGTTGGGAGGGAAGGTTTGGGAAGGTTGGGGAG